CCTGCTTCCCTTGCTTAGTTAAGCAAGGCTGTTTTTTCTCTGTTGCCATGCAAAAAGGGTAGTGAAATCCAACATGGTTGTGACATACGGCTTTAAGAAGGGATCCTGAAGTGACTGACTTAAATTGGACAGTCACTGTCCACATGCACCATTTAGATTGGCGCATGATGTGAATAGAAAGTGAACCAAGAGGGGAGGAAAAATGTGCACTTCCAAAATGCATGTGATACACCAGGAAGGTTAGAAAGATGTCACAGTGATTCTTATGAAAAATAGTTTTTCTTAAACAGGAAGATGTTAATTGTCTTTTTGTTTGGTTGTTTTTTCCCCCCCTTAAGAAAGTACACACTGTGATGGCTTCTGTTGAAAAGCTTATTAGTGTGCATTCTCGTCTCCTCTGAAAAACTCTCTCTCTCGAGTCATCCATTCCAGCTGTGTCACAGCGATGGAAGAAGAGCTTGAATGCTGTGTAATTCAATAATTTCACATAGTTTTCTGTAACAGTTGCAAGCAGTTGCACTGTTTAGAATCTGTCTCTTAAAACCTGGACGCCTTCAAGCAGAAGGGAGAACAGTTGGACAAAAAAAGTGCATTTAATTGCTTTCCTAAATTACAGGAATTAAAGCAGATTGCAAAACAACATTTTTGTAATCGTTGATAGACATGCAACGAATATCTGTGAGTCATGTTGGTAAAAAAGACATTATAGTTCTATAAGTACATTACAGTAGCTGGTTTCCTTGCCCAAAGTTACAAATGATGCATTCAGTCTGTTGAAAGGCCACAGGAGCTCAGGTGTGTCCACCAAAATGTATATCTTTAGGAATTACAGATGAGGTTCGATTCTTACTGTTGTCAGTTTCTAGGTAGCTTACATTGTAATGCTAAAGAAGCAAAACCAGTGCCCAGCTGTAATGTTTAAGCAACGTGAGATGGTAGCTAGCTGAACCCTGTGAGTTAATCCACGCTTGGATGCATTATCTATATCCCGTATTTGGCCATTGCAGGAAACTTTACCTCAAGCTGTAGCAAGATTGGGGTGGAAGGGGCACCATCTTCATGCGTTACTCATTTCATAAAATGTGAGTGAGGAATCAGAAAAGTAGTCTCTTCCTGTTCACCTGCTTAGTATGTCACAACAGTCTTAGCCTCTCCCTGTCAGGAATGAGTACAGCCCTTTTTCAAGTTGAACATTTCATACCCAGGATGAGGGGAGCAGTGGCCAGCCTATGAGAACCATAGAGGGGCTTAGTCCATTCTCTAGGGTTTGCTTGCTCTCTGCTTCAGTCCTGTATGTCTCATGCCTGTCTGTTGCGGTTTCCTTTCAGCTGAGTTGAAAGAGGAGAGCTGGGAAGTCCAGTTTCATGAGGATGAGAGGAACCTACTTTTTCTCTCTGGATAGCAACGAATGATCTAAAAATCAGATCATGGATGTTTGAGATAAACCATGTGTGCAGGAGAGAGACAAGAAGAGTGCCGAGTAGGGTGCGCCTGTCGGGTGGGAGGGTGGAGCACAAGTTATGTTCTCCATTGGACTGGTCTGTATACTAAATCATGGTCTTGTAGCTCTGGGCATTAAGCACTTGTGTGAGAAACAGGTGGACTGCATGAACTCCACACAGCTCATCACATAGGCTTTCCAGCAGAAAAAAGCACAATCTTAATTGAGAGTGGATCGTATTTTTGAGTGGTTGTGTATTTCTGGCTGCATTTCCTTCTTGCCTAGTTTGGTGGCTCTTCCTGTGGGAAAGTGGCTTTACTAGTCCTTTCCTCTTGGTAGTCTATCCTAATGCTGTGCAGTCTGTCCTTGAAGACACACTACTTAATGTCACAGAGGCTTCAGCCTTAGGCAAAGAAATGGACTTCTAGGTTTTTGTGCTACTGAACGAAATTTTAATTTCTTTAACTTAACCTGGGGGTTTGAAATGGAGGCCATACAAATGAATATTTTGAGACTGTTGGGGAAGATCACTGTCCTGGAAAGGAACACACTACTGCTAGGAATTCCTACATGCTACATTTCTACATGCTACATTCCCACATCCTACATGAAAAAATAAACAACTTCTATTACGAAATTAAAACTCTTGTTCCAGGTCTGTTTTAGTTGAACTTCAAACTCTGCAATACTCAAAGTGCAAATCTGATTGTTACGTTATGGATAAAACAGTTAATTTCTTAGTTGAGTATATTCATTAAGGTGTTCTAAAGTGAAAGACTGATGTGAAGCGTGTATGGTAAGGAAATGTGACTGTAAATAATTTTTTCATATTTTACTTTCTGATGCAGCTTCCTGTTTTCTGGCACTGATAGTGCATGGCGGCTTATCCTAACTCTGTCCTGAAGTGAGGTGGGAAATCTGTCCAATAATCCAGCATCAGTAAGACAGACAAGGTAATGATAAATGTTATGTTTTTGGAAAGGAGATGAAAGAAAACCTATGGATAGACGCTGTTTTATTTTTTTTAATGCTTTAAATTAAAAAACAAAACGAACAACTTCTGCAAAACCCTATGCTTTTACAACCAACTTAGTGTTGATTGGACTGAGTTGATGTGCCTGCAGTTAAGACCCCTATGTTGCAAAACATGAATAATGTATTAGCAAGCATTAACAATATTATAAACCTCACTATTTCATCAGTGTCTGAGCAGCGACCTGGCTGAGTTAATCGCAGGTCCCTTTTCTCTGCAGTTAGACTGTATCTGTCAACCTCCTTTTATGTCCAGTTAGGAGAACGTGTTTTGTTCAGTAGTTGCTTTTGTCTTTTTTGTTTTGTTTTGAATGTCATTGGGCTAAACAAAGGGATTTGCATGAAATGTTTGCTTTATATTAAGTTAATTACCAAAAAACCCAGAAATTGAATTGCAATCTAGAGATAACATCATACTAATCTTGTTAATGCAAAACATTGCTATTGAAACAGTAGAGTTAAATATATATAGGTGCATCAAGGTATGATGTGTTAAAGGCTTTAGCTGAGTGTCTTGTTTCTCTGGTAGGAGAGAAGTAATTTTCAATGCAGTACTTTAAAAATAGACTGACCAAAGCAAAATTGAGTTTTCTCATAAAGCACTGTGTTATAACATCCTTAAATACAAAGAAGAAATACCTGCGTATCTCTACCAAGAATGAGCAGCATGCTTGCCTGCATGTGGCTTTGGAAATGTCAGTTTTGATGTGTAGGGCTGCTTCCTTTTAAGATTTCCAGTATTTGTACTTCAGATGTTAAGATAACTGCTTCTTTAATTGCTCCTCATTCCAGACTTACTGCTTTGGCCCTGTCCAAAACAGCGAAGAAAGAAGGGGACATTTGACTAGCTATCTAGACCTTTTTTCCCATTCCTCTCCATAGTAACTTCTCTGTAGTTTCTGTTTTTCTTTTAAACATAAGGCCATTGTGTTTTTTAACAAGAGATACACCTCATAAAGAGTGATTTTTTAAATTGACTTATGTAAAGTGTTAAAGATACAACTCTGAAGTATATGCTGTGTGCTTTGTTGCACTTCCTTTTAAGTTGGAGTGGTTGTCTACCTCTCTTAAAGCAGAGAGTAACCGACTGTTCTGACCATGTATGCTGCATAACAAATTCCTGGCTCTGAGCCTAATGAGTAGCTAATGTGTGGTCTATTGAGCAGCTTTTAAAAATCTAAAATCTTGGTTAAAACATCTCAGTCAAAATTTCAAAAAAGGAAAAATTTTGTATCTTCCTTTCTGGAGAGGAACCCTCAATGCATTCTGATCATGCATATAATAAACCCAGTGTTTAGCTCTTCATTTATTTGTTCATGAAATAACACATAATTCAACTTGATCCCCTTAGTAAAGCCACCTTACCACCTATAATCTTTGAAATAAGAAATTTTATTCTGCCAGTCTTTTCTTAAATGAAAAAAAAGTTCCCTTTGGTTATCATAATTATGGGGCATGTAAAAATAATCTAAGAAGGTGATAATGTAACCAGTATGATGTTGTAAGGCAGACAACTTTTGCTGCAATTTCACTTTTCCCTGAGAGAGATGTATACATGTATCTCAAAAGCAAATCCTAGGGAATATTAGTTCCTTTATCGCCTTTTTCCATGATGGTTTACAGCTGATATCTTACAAAAAAACCCACCCAAGTTTGAAATTTCTAAATGTCACAAGTATTTAAAATCTGCCTGACTTTTAAAAAAAACTTTACTTTTAAAGCACTGGGAACTGTCATAACTGTTAATTTGAGGTGTCGGATCTTAGAGTTGCTCTTTGCCTGTAAGCTCAGTTAATGTATTATGCAGTTTATTGTTTGAGAAATTAGTGCATCATAGAATGTGTCCAAGAGAGGCTTTCTGTAGAACTTCCTCACAGTAATGCTTTCCAAAGATGGAAAGCTTCAGAACTGTCATCGGATACATTTAAGTACCCATTAAGTTTAGTTTTCTAAAGTGTTTTTAGTGTTTTATTGTTAACAGGTCTGTGGGCGATAAAGAATCCACCATGAATGGGCAGCTGGACTTAAGTGGGAAGCTGATCATCAAAGCTCAGCTTGGGGAAGATATTAGGAGGATTCCTATTCATAATGAAGATATCACCTATGATGAATTGGTGCTCATGATGCAAAGAGTTTTTAGAGGAAAACTTCTGAGCAATGATGAAGTCACGATAAAATACAAAGATGAAGGTAAGGTTTAATTACCAGTGTTGAAGTTTAATTACTACTGTTGATCTGATATGATTTATATATAGACAGAAACTCTGAATTTCACCTCTTCAAAATTGTCCAAATTCATTGGCAAATGCAAGTGATTTCTTGTGAAATCCTTTGAATCTCACAATAGAAGCTGTATGAACCCTTCAGTTTCCTCCAGTTTTTCTGAAAGGCCAGCTATCTGAAAGTTCATTTTTTTGCTGTTGCAGGAAGCTGATGTTATTGCAGGTTTCTCTTCTGTCCACTCATTTAACCATCTTTTGGTGTGTTTTCAATGATAAAGTGGGTTTGATGATGAGGAGTAAATAAACATGTATGATTTCATGCAAGCTCTTGTAAGACTGAAAATTTGATTTATGTAGTAGTAATTCTTGAATATGTTTTCCTCCATCAGTAAAGATTAGAAACTTTTAATTTAACCTGAAATATTCATGAAAAGTAATCTTTCCCCTGTCTGATGGTTTGAATCTCTTGGACTTGGGTTGTTTCTAAGAAAATCTCAATCATTGGTGCTAAACAAACACAACTTTAAGAAAGAAGGGCTTCCACAGAATGAAAAGGGCCTTGTTTGAGATGCGTAGAGAGTTGTCTTTCGGAGGGTTTTTCCTCTTTAAATGTCAGTGTGGGGCATGGGTAAGTTAATTAGGGACAGAGGAATGGTATTCATAAAATGAAACTCAGAATAAAGTGATAAAGTCCGAAGTCTCTTAGTCAGGTCAAAGACTGTGTAGTAATTATGCTGGTGTACAGTAAAAGAGCTACCTTACTGAAGCATTTAGGTTCATTTTTCTTAATAGCACTAGGAAACTTTAGCACTGTCTGTGGTACCTAAAATGTCAAATAAATTTTTTTCATACATCCAGGCAATAAAATTACATTTTGAATGACCCTGAGGCAGTTTTTTCAGGTTCATGAAGCTTTTGAGAGACACTGGTCATCAAAATTGATATGCAATGAAGGGCTAATATTTTGAGTCTTGATCTCTAGTGGGAGAGAGCTCAGTGGACTTGTGTTGGTTTTGTTTTTTCTCTTATCACATAATCGATTTCTTTTTTTCTTTCTGGAATGAGAAGGCTGAAAGGAAATTGATGGATGCTTTTTCATTAGGTTAAATCTTCCAGTCCCTTTTTTTGCATTCTTACCTGTTCTTTAAATATAGTTCTCTGGGTTTGTATATGCTTCTATGTCTGTCTTGTATTGACGAAGATAATGGTGTTTGATGGAGACTGGAATTATGGTTTCAGTCTTTGGTTGTCTTTCACAGCCTAGAGGCCTCCTACTTTTAATTTTAGCTTTCTTTGTCTCAGATTGTACTACTTCTCCACTATGACAAGAAATTTCAGGATATGTTATCCTAGCTGCTCATCACTACTAAGAATGTTTAAACGTTATTAATAGCAGGGGAAGTTGCAAGTGATTAAGGAAGAAGTTAACAGAACTGGGCTTCAGTTTGATTGTCATATGAGGACCATGGTATTCTTGACTTTGTTTCAACTAAGCTAAGATTCTTCTTAAAATGTATTTCAGTCATTAGAAGCATTGGAATATACATATTCTGGCTATTTCTGTTCTGTTATTTATCCCTCCAGATGTGGAAGAATGCTTGTCTTCATCTGTTATGAGGAGATATCTTAAGTTTGTCAAAGGATTTCCACTACCTCTACAGCCTAGAATTCATATGCATACTCTTTGATTGTTCAGAAGAATGCTTCATGTACCCCTTCTGGCTTTGTTTCTTGTTGGTGTAACACATGAAGCTAGTGAGTTTCAGGCCTAGATATGGGATTTTCTACTTAAAATGCAAAATACTGTGGCTTTGTATCTTCATCAAGTTGTCATGATCCTTGAATTTAACATATTTTTGGTTTTTTCTCAAACTTAATTGGAGAGGCTAGGAAAGTTTAAAGCCCAATCCTTCTGTCTCTGGATTTGTGGACTAAGATAGTCAGAAGTGTATTCCTAAGTTGTATTTAGGTTATGTGATGCTTTTATTAATTACCAGAGATGAGAAGTTTCAGTTTAATTACTACCTTGTGGAGTTAGGTTTTATATTCAAGCTGGGCATCTTTGAAATTTCTGAACTAAGGAAATTGCTGTACTAGGTGTGAAATTATTTTCATGTCCTGCTTAAGGTTTTTGAATATATAGTAAAACCCAATGTCGGGGTGGGGGGAACAAAAAAACTTGGAAGAATGAATTTATATGAAACAAAGAGTAGAATTGCATCTTAAGCATACTATGTTGTTGAGTTACATATGCTAAAGCCCCTATGGAGCCAGTAATAGAAACTTTACTTTCTTTTTTAATGTTAGGCTGAATTTAAAACTGGAGTGCCTAATGTGAGATTGGCCTTTTCGTTCTTGTTCTTAATTACTTTGCAGGAGAAATTATGTTCTTTGCGTCAGAGCCAATAAGGAGCCAATTATTAACTCATACTGCATGTAATCAAGGTGGTGTGCTAGTCAATAATGGCTCTACCTTTGGTAAATTTACGAAAGTGGAGGAAAACTACATTTTTGGTGGTGGCTTTTTTTCCCACCCAAAATGGAATAGAAAAAAAAGGGGGGGGGGGCGTAGACAAAGCTCATAGATGAGGAAGCATAGCTGGCAGGGCTAAGGATAATGAGGCAGATTTCTAATGTCTTCTCATTTCTAATGTCATAAAAATTGGAATCACAGAATCATCATGGTGACGTAGAATTAATGCTAAAATACTTTCCAGTCCATTGGTAAGTTAAGGGTGTCACTAGCTTATACTAAAGGTGATAAAAAAAAAATTGGTGTAGTAGGGAATATTTAGGGTGCATGGGAAATTATAGAGAGTGAAAGCTATGTCCCTTGTACAAATGAGAAAGGTAAGTCCTTGAAATAGAAGATTAGCAGAGAAAATAAAGGAATGTCTGCTTTACCTTACAATGTTAATTGTTTTCTATTGAGTACTCCTATCTATATCATGATAACAGGAATTAAGCTTTATTGACATTCCTTAAAATGGAAAGTTTGTTTGATAAATGTAATATACTTAAATTGCCAGACTTGTGTATGGCTTGACATACATATGCTTTATGAATCCTGGCATATGATCTACTTGGGTAATAGCTTGGTGGCTGTCAATAGGAATCATAGAACTGACTATGCATCTAACAAGATTCTGTACTTTGTGCTTTTCAGCCTTTTCTTCTGCTAGCAATTTAAAATAGAAACTGTCATCATTATTCTTAATGCCTTCAACATAAATGTTAAAACAGGTAAGGCAGAATAAGATGGAATGATCTGGACTGATTTTGGATCAGAATGATCTGGATTCTTTTGGGTGGTATTAATCCACATAAACCATGTGTATTAATATATATTTGCATTTGGCTATGCAGGATAAACTGTTTAGAACATGCACCTTTGTTCAGGCAGTGAATCTGAGTGGTGACTGCTAGGACAGAAAAGCGTCATAAGATGATCTACCAGTGTTGTGCATTGGCAAGGGAAGTAATTATCATTTATCATGTTGCCAGGAGAATATGGAATAGAAGGGCTTTGCACTAAGACAGCAGTGGATTTTGGTATCAGCATTTAGGAGAGGATACTGAAAGCTGGAGGAAGTGTTTGAGGTAGAGGGAAGCCCCCCACGCCCTCACTTTACTGCCAAAGAGAAAGGACTGTTTTACCTTCATAGTGACTTGTTTGGGGTCTGATGTATAAAGTCTTGTTATGGATCATAATGGCAAGCAGGGTCACTATTACACTCCCCTTCCTGGCACTGGTGAGGCCTCACTAGGAAGTCTGTGCTCAGTTTTGCTGCCTGCACCCCAGGCTAAAAAAGACTTGGAGGAAGTCCAGCAGCACATGGTTAGGATGGTGCAGGTGGCCTGTGAGGAAACATTTGAGGGAGCTGGGCTTCTTCAGTGTGCTGAAGTGGAAGCTGAGGGCAGAGCTAATAGCAGCTACCAGCTAACTGCATGGGAGTTACAAAGACCATTGAATCTAAGCTGTTTTTGATGGCACCAGATGGCAGCAATCATAAACTGCAGTTTGAGAGGTTTGAGTTTTGGCCCGGAGGGCAGTGTGTCACTGGAGCAGGTTGCCTAGCGGGGTTTTGGAGCCTCCATTCTTGGAGACTTTCCAGTCTATACTCAGTCAATCCTTGACTGATACTGGTATGAAACAATGTGTTTTTTTGAGATTGTGGAAGTGCAGACAGGACATAAGATACAAAAAAATCTTCTGAGATAACACTATTTCTTTCAGGAAAACTTGAAAATTATTTTATATGTCATCAGTTTGTTAGTATTTGTAAAATTTCTTGTGTGTCTTGTTAGAAAGCAACTTCTTTGAAGACTGACAGGCATTGTTAGGTGTTAAATTAGGTACTATGCTAAGAAAACTTTCCATTGCAGAGGTGTTACTTTGTAGTCAGGTATGACAAAATAAGAATACGTAGTTCTTCAAATTTTGAGCTTTTTTCAACTTGCCATCATGTGTTTTATGACTCTTTGTACCAAAGCATTATTTTATTTGAAAATTTTAACCATAACTTTCATATGGTTGGAACTTTGTCACCAGCGCGTAAGGAATCTTTAGGCGCTAGTCTGTAATTAAAAACATGTTTCTGTGTCTGTCCACAGAGCCTTCTTGTCACAGTGTTTCAGGGAGTATCATTGGCAGCCTGGAGTTGGCTTTGTTCCAAGTTGTGTGTCATTTTTCTAACACTGTTGCTTTACCAGACAGTGTCTCATCTCAGTTCCCAGTCACCAAGCTGTTCTAGAAGGAAGTGATCCTGCTGTCCCTTCACTTGCCCTCTGCCAGTACACACATGTTCCTGATAATGCGTTCCCACTCTTGCCTTTGGACTGCCTAATTAGTGTTCATTTAATCTATTAATAATCTGTTCCATATGTTAAAACAGCAGAAAATCAGTCCTGCT